TTCTATGATTCTATGATTCTATGAAACTATGAAAACCTTGAAAGTCAGTATGATGAATTATTGCATCACAGGCTGAGGATGAAAACCACAGGTTTTTCTTTAACTAGCAAGTCACACATCTTTAAGAAAGTTACATATGCTAAAGAATATTAGTAATCTCTCTTCTAGTTTGTCTTTCTGTAGGAAGGAAAAAAAAAAACCTCTCTTATTGTTGAGACTAGAGTTAGTTAAACATTAATTTACTGCTTAACAACTGTAACTGTTTCTTTTGCAGGAAAGATGCAATTGAGAGCATCAGAGTTCCACCCTTTCTAGTAAATGGAAATAATCTCAAACCTCAATACAAGTGCTTTTATCAATTCTAAGGTATACAAGTCTCCACTTTAAATGCTTCCATGAATGTATACGCGCTCCCTGTTGCAGCTGGTGACGCTGCTTGGCTTTGCAAATTTTGTGCTGTGGTGAGTTAGCCCTTCAGAGATGGTTCTTCCTGACATGGAATGTCAAAAAATGAAGACTAACTATGAAAATCAAAACTCTATGATACGTAGGTAGGGAGAATATATTTTTCATGTATGCTAAACATCAAACTCGCTGTATTTTATCGTTTTGCTCAACAATTTTGGGGGAATAGCTATGTAATACTGCCATCACCTGCCCTCTCCCGTAACAGCATGAAAAACATTGAGTATTACAACACGGAAGTGTTCACACCTAATACTACATTTATCTTTTTGGTTTCAACAAAGTGAAAAAAAGAGAAAAAAATACCAGCCATCTTTCATATGCCCCAATAGCCTTCTTATTTTCTTCTTCCTTCTTCGCCTGTTGTATTTCTTGCTTTCTTCTCTCCAGGATTTTTTCTGCTTTCTTCTGTTTTATATATTCGTCCTTTTTTTTATTCCTGTATAGTGAGAGGGAAGAAAAGGAATCATCATGTAACAGACTAAATGCTACATCTGTGACTGATTAACTAAATTGAGTCAAAAGAGATATTTTATGCATTTAATAAAAGATTGAGAATAAATATTTAAAACCTTCGAAGTCCATCTTTATATATCACCAAAGTATAAAAGAACCTAGTATCCTATCTATTATGGCATCACCTTTTCTGTATTACTTTCTCCCTTATCTGCTGTCATACAAAAAATTAGATTCAAAACTTCTGTGGGTAATATTGAGTTGCAGATGGTCTATGAAGACTCTTGGCTTGTAAAACTAACAAAGAATTTCTCCAGCAGACACATCTCATGTGCTTCTGAATACATCTACATTCACACATCGTATTCCACAAAACTTTCACATAAAGACTCACCTCTGTTCCTATGGGTTAGCAATGAAGCATGAGACTAATCACATGACATTATACTACTCAATGAATCTTAATTCTCAGTTGAAGTATCTCTGCCTGGGCTTAGTCAGTAGCCTTTTTGGGGGGGAAAGCATTTAAGTTACTAAACTTAAAGAAGATGTACAGCTTGTTCTCGTTGTTATACTTGCTCTCCATTGGGACTGAACAGCCTGATCCCAAGCATGCCATCATCTCCCAACTAAAAGCACATCAAGCGCTCATTGAAGTCCTATTGCATTTAATAAGCAAAGTTCTGGGAAACTATGATATTCCAAAACCCAGTGGAGTAGTACCATTTTTCAACTGCTGACATGCTGTCTCTCTTCTTCTCTGCAACCAGTTCCTCTTCTTTCTTCTTCTTGATTCTTTCAGACTGTTTTTCCTTTCGGCTTTGCTCTCTGAAATATTCTGCTTTACTTTCTTTCCATTTTTTGAATGCCTAAAGAAAACCACAAGTTCATTAGAAATCTTACCCCTCACCTTTTTGTCAACACTCCACTTGCTTATTCTGTATTATTATTTTTTGTAATTTCTACACATTCCAGTTTTGGAATATTTGTTTGCAGCATTGCTCAGAAGTGGGCATCACTATACCTAAAAATAAGAAATTATTTTTTCCCCAGTAAGGAATAGTTCATTGCCAGTGTATTTATATGGAGTTTATTGTACGTTCAGTTAATAGAATCCAAATAAGAAAAAATTCCTGTTTGTGTGCAAATGTAAACATTACATACTTCCAACAAAACAGAATCTAATACAAACTGTCTTCAAAAATCAACCACGTTTAAATTTTACAGTCTAGTTTGTTTCCACCTCTTGTTGAATTAATCAAAATTACTCTCAACCATCTCCTGAAACATATCCAATACACATTTATGTACATATTTCACATTACCTTCTGTGCGGCTTCTGTTTTATCCTCATCTTGTTCTGCTGTTTTCTTTTTCTTAAGTTCCTCAAGCTTCTTTTTTTCGCTTAACTGCTTTGCTTCTCTTTCTTTCTTTCTTTTCCAGGCTTCAAAAGATGCATTTGCTTCCTCTCTTTTAACAGCTTCTTTCTAGATTGAAAAGAATGGTCTACTTTTAAACATACTTAAATATAAAACTATAATTGAAATACTATGCTTTAAACTCATTGTCAAATGTGGGATTAGATGAAGCAATAAAGAAATGGAAATTGGTTTGTAGACAACATTCCAAGTCATACTCAAAATTAAATTTGAGCTATATAGAGCATTTTTTTTCTCTGCTCATTTTTAACTTAACTGAATTGAATGAGACAAACTATTCCTCCAAAATCTGTGTAAAAGAATATGAAACACATATTAAATGCTTAGAGGTGAAATATTACATACTTAAAAGACAAATCTAAGAATTCTGTACAGTACTATTCAAAATACAGTCCTCTGTGGATAATAATTTCTTGAGATAGGGAGCAAACTCATTTTCTAGCAGATGACAAATTAAAACTTAACACCTGAAGGTTGAGCATTGCAAGGTCTTTGTAAACAAAGCTGACAATTAATCTAAGCAGCACACTTTTAACATACCTTACATAAATGTGTAGGACACACCCTTTACAGCAACCAAAATGAGACAGACATGCCATTTAATACAAGGTATCAACTTACCTTGTGCTAGGTAGAGAAAAGCAGATGCCTTAGATGCCTTAGAACAGCAGAGTGATGCAATAACGCAGAAGGCTCAGGAAAGCATACTTCAAAGAACTATAGTTTGTCATCTTCTTTATAAACAAGAATGTAAACAAACCTTTTCAGCATCGTTCCTTAGATCTTCAGCTTTCTTCTTCTCTATTCTCTTTAATTCCAGAAGAAAGGCCCTCTTTTTTTCCAACCAATTCTGTAAGAATCATTAGAAGACTTTTATACTTTGAGTCTTTTTAAGGTATAACTGAAAAGTTCTGTTAACCAAATATTACTAGACCAGCACGAATATAATGAACCAAAATTACTCTTAATTATTCCACGTGCTACTTCAATAACTACCCCATTTGGAAGACTAAGCTGTGATCACAGAAACACTGTGACCAAAAAAGTCTAAGGTTCTAAAATCATAGCTACAAAACACAAAAAAAGCTTAAGGATCTTTTAAAAAAAAATCTTCAAAAAAACCCCAAAAATGTAAGCATTAAAAAAAAATTTGAAAAAGAGGAACACAATAAAGATTTTTATCACTTGGTATATAGTAATAGTATTCACATTTATTGTCTCTCTTGCGAATACCTGCAATAAAAGAGAATAAAATCCAACTGGGAAGAGTGAGACTTAAGGCATCCATAAAGCGTTATGAGACATCTGCAGAACCAGGTTTAAATTTTCAAGGTTTAACTATGTATTTGTTATGCTGCTTAGAGATATAAGTGTCCTAAAGGAAGCCTATTTTACTTTTAAAATTATGGAGACAATAGAAATATGGATTTGAGGTTCAAAATTTTGTTCTCGAACCATAACAAGTATTAAAAACACATACCAATATGAACGGCATCTGTTAAGAAAGTTTTTCTTACACAGATTAGTCGCAAAAATCTGTTAGAACCCACAAACTAACTGTTATGAAATTCTACACAGAATCCACATATATTGTCCTGGAGAGAATACTAGACTTGTTTTCACTTTTCCTGAATGTCAACTGAACAGAATATATCAGTAAAATAAACTTTAAACTACACATTCATTTATGTTAAGAAAGAAGTAGAAAAAAAGTAAAATATGTGTCTGAAAATAGTTTGACAAAATTAATTATGAACCCGGCATGTCCCTCTCATCTAGCTTTTTAGTTCATAATTCGATGAAAAGGCATAGCCAACAGAATGAAACAATTATTACGCCTGTAAGCATATGCAAGGAATATCCTCAGAAATATTGATTTCAAGAAAATAAGAGGTGTTGACTCCTATAACAGAACCTTTATGTGCATAGTTTTGTTTGTTGGTTGTTTTGTTTGGTTTCTATTTGTTTGCTTTTAAGATCTACCTGGAAAACAGCTGCTCGTAAACTATCCGCTTTGTGAAATTCTGTACTGTTCTTCTGCACGTGTTTATCCTCCAGCACCTTTAATGTTCCCAGATATTGAGATGAAACAGGTGCAGCTGGTGCAACAGCTTTTGCCTTTTTCTTTAAGTGCGCAGAAGACAGAGACCTATGAAAATACCAAGACACAAATACATCCATGATCTTTCAATTTATTGTAGATAATACCAAATAGTGTTCCTTTTATTTCAGCGTACACCAAAAGTTACTTGGATTCTGTTTTTACATGCATTTGGTTGGGGACAGGGGAAAACAAAAGGAGGAGGAAGCTGGTTTTCTTCTGAGGGCTTTATTATTGCCAAACAAGCCACTACTCAATATATCCAGCCCAAGAAAGTTTACAAATTACACTTTCATCTACAAAACAGCTTCAAACCTGTAAAGAAACCATGGACTGGATTCATTGGTGGATCCAGTAGCACACACTCATCATAAACACTGGTGAAAGACCTGGAGTCTGATCTGATCTAACCCTGAGCAAGGGTTGTAATAACATGACACCTGTACTAAACTGTTTTCCACAGACAGAAAATGGGAGTGAAGCAGCACTGGCAGGGCACTTAAGTGCATCTTACACTCTGCAGACTGTGATACACAGCACCGTTCTCTTACCTGTCAGATGAAGAAGCTTTCGGGTTTTGTCGAACTCTCTCCTTTGTTTCACTTAGTTTCTAAGAAACACAGATGAAAAGTAAAATTCTACGTTCTCTCAAGTGACAGAACTAGATCAGGATGAAACAGATTTTTACAAGCTAACAAGGATGTTGGGAGTTGGACTTGGTGATCCTTATGGGTCCCTTTCAACTCAAGATATTCTATGATTCTATGTTAGAAAAATACGCAAGAAAGACACTCTAATATAGAAAGGGTATGGTACAGGCTAAGAAAGTAAAAAAAACCCAAACAAACCAAACAAGCAAACTTTCAGAATGCCTGTATCTTTTTGGAATGGCACACAGAAATGTTGTTTTGTATTACGTAAAAATATAGTCTATAGTTTAGAAATACAAAGGAATAAAAACACAGCTGGGCAGAGGGTTTCCCTGTTATTATATCAACACTCTTTTAACTGTTTTTAATATTTAGCTTTAACAATTACATATATCTACATATTTTCTTTCTTATGATAAAGCATAAGTGCTTTGCGTCTTAGCCATTATTTAAGTCCTCTGCCATCCTGCACTGCTCATTCCAATTCAGCTAACCTCACAATAGAGATCTGAAGTTTTCACTTGGATAAGAGTATTTCCTTAAGATTGAAAAACTCATAATTCAATTCCTTTATCTGGTTTAAAATATTTGTGTAAAAAGTATTCCCTACATCCTCCATAAAAACATACAGAATTTGTAAGAACCTCAGCTCTAGAAGCCAGAGATAAATTGTCAGCTTTACAGAGTCCTACACATTTAAGGTACCACAGTAACTTTACAAAACTCTTCACTGTGCTTCTAGGACATTGTTCTAAACAATGGTAAAAATGCTTATCAGTAATACCTTGGCAGAGTCCTTTGAAGTGTTCTTTGCCTCCCCGTGCTCAGATTGGTCAATCACTGATACCTCCTGTAAGGTATCAGTCACTATTTGCCCTTCCACTGGTTTAATCGTCTCGTCTGAACTGTCATCTGCTGACTTCTCTCGTACCTTTGTTTTCTCGGACACTGTGGTCATCATTACTTCTGTCACAGAAGGGGATTTTCTACCACAGTCCTCCAGTTTCAAGTCACTGGTGTTGATCTTCTGATCTTGATCTAACGGGAGAAAAATGATTGAGAGGACATATTAACAAGAATTTCATTGTTTCCGAGTATTGTTATTTCTGTATTAAAAAAATCTGTTTATGAAACATATTACTAAATTTGATATAATATAATGTATTCTGCATATTTCCTTCTAAGAACTATATGGACTAATACAAAGAGTATTCACTTGTATTGTATTTCAATGTAAGACTGGAGTAGCAACTGAAATTTTAACAAAATGTTACAGAATGTGAGAGCATGACAAAGGCAAAACTTCCCGTCTGCTTTGCCACCCAAACATGGTTCTAGTACAGAAACCAAAAGCAATCACAGCAAGCACTCTTCTGACATCTAGCAAACTACTACAGAAGTCTGTACCACAATTCAGGTGACAAAAACTGCTGTCATCATGGTTTTCAGGGGTGTGGGACACACAAGGAAATAACGGAAAGATTCTCTGGTGGTGATGGAAACAAAACATCACCTCATTTTAAATGTGTGCCTAAGTGGTGGAATTGTCATTTACAAAACACTTTATTAATAATACTCAACAACCATTTTTATCAGATCTGAACTGCTATTAATGCAGAGATCTAAACTTGTAGAACAATTCAGACACAAACCAAAAAAGACCATGGTAAATTCCAAATTACAGTCTTCTACAATTTTCTGATGGAATTCTTAAATGAAACATAAGTTGTGGATGAGAGATTAGCTCCAAGTTACCTGAAGAAAGGAATACCAATGCTGACAATCTAAGAAATTTAACCTAGATTTACAATGATGAACATACATTCGGGTTACAAGGAGAATTCTGAATTTATATGAACCATTTTCTATCCTCTCTTGGTATGTAAACTTTCATATTTTACTTTACACTTAATTGATAGTACAGCTGCATATAAACTGTAGGCATCAGAAACTGTACAACTCTAATTAAGCTGCAGCACCTAGTGCACAGGACATTGCTGACATCCCATTTACTATATGCACTTGGTAGCACGCACTTCACAGAAATTTGCGTGCAAGTCAGTTTGGCTGTTTGCACAATGGATACAAAATACTAACCTTCCCATGGCTAGCTGAGAAATGCCACACAAACCCTGTAAGTAGTATTATTGGAGTTTCTTTCTTGACAATTCAAGCTATACAAGTCTGACCAGTCTGCTTGGAATTCTTACACCTGCACACCTCAGCATCATATTTAAACAATCTTTTCCAGTCCCTTTTCCTCCACTTTTGTTGAAGATGCCATATCATTTTTGTTTCTAAGTCCTCCTTCATCCTGATAACACCACCTTTATTATTCTCTTCCTCTTAAGCTCTCACTGCACTTGGAGAATCTACCCATTCCACTACACTGATGCTCATATCCTTTTTCCTGTACAAACTCTCCTTAGACATTGTTTCATTAACGATGCTTAAAACCATCAAGCTATACCAAACAAGCTTCCTAATCCAAAGTATCCGCAAAATATAAAAAAGCACTGAAATTAAACACAGATCTGAGCACATTCATTATCTACTACTCAGTACATTTCCTGAGTTTTCAACTTTTGTTCACCTTCCTGTACTAAATTCAAGCCAAGTCCCATTTTTATCTTTTCAGGCCACAGCATACAGAGATCACATAGGCCATACAGACAGCATTCTTCTTGCTGTGCCTGACACTCTATGGTACCTACCTGTTACGGTCCTGCACGCAGAAAACTACCCCCCGCATGATTCCCTTCACAAAATAAAAAAGGTACCCAACAGCCTATTCCAGTGTTTTTCAACCTGGGGTCAGTGGATTTTCTGTAATCAGTCTGAAAAAGGGGACTGAAAAAGGTAAGTTCAATGGATACTACTGAGAAGCCCACAGATTTGATATTTTTCAAAGGATTTGCACATCCCCTAAGAACTGCTAGGGGTTCATAAATCCAAAAAAAAAAAAAAAAAAAAAAGAAAAGCACTAGTCAGTGTGTATCAAACTTTGTTGAAAAGGTACAGGAAGAAGTGAAAGGTTTACCCTAGTCATGCTGACTACAAAAAAGGAAATGAAATAAAAATGACTTATTTTAAGTCTCAAAGATGCAATGATGCATACACTTGACATAAGTCAAAGTTTAAAACCTAAATTCTCAAACTTTAATCTGTTCCTCTCCATTCCTGGGATGCCTCTAGGGCCAAACTTCTCAACACCTGGGATTATACCGTACTTGGACATAACTACAAGAATGAGGCTGGGGCATTCTCAAAACCAGAAAAGGAGACACAAGGGCATGAGAAAGACACTGAAAGAGAGGAGAAAGGAAATTAAGAACGCTACTGATTTTAAGACGACTTGTATTGGACCATTAGATATTACTAAAGTATAAATGGTAACATTTATCCAGTTGTACGTATCTAAGTTCTACCTTTCACAAGTGGTGCTTCTCCACACATCAGTAAATTGGAGTCTCCAGATCTTTCATTGTGGGAAGTAAAATTAATGGAAAATGGTGGTGAAGTACTTTCTAGCCTGGGACCCTTAGATCAGAAAGTGACAAATAAGCAAGTGAGAAATTCATAACAAATCCATAAATTTAACTTGACTTTGTAACAATTTGATAGAATGTTTGTTCAGAACTCTCTAGGAGATGTATAATTCGTGTTTTACATTTAGAGAAATAAAACCAATCAGCACATAAGGCTGCAAACCATCACAAAATCCTGTTTCTAGTTTGAAAGAAAAAGAATGATGTTCTCTTCTCTGGCCCTCATCATAATAATGCTACTGGCAAAGACATTTCTTCCTACTCCTATTTTTCTCCCCAAAAATTGTCACCTAAATAAAAGTTAGTTTCTAAAGTTTCCAATGTAGATGGTAAAAAATCAACACATATACTCTCTTACTTCAGGACTAGGGCTTTTGTCAAGCAGTTTTTTCTTGGGCGTGGCTTGTGCATTCAGAGTAGTTAGGGATGATGGTGCTGAAAATGAAGAAAATCCACTTCTAGAAGTTACTTTTCCTTCTGACCTATTAAGCTCATAATTTTTCACGGGACGACTTTTTCTCAACATACTTCTTGGTTGAGGTGATGGTTTACAACAGCTATCTAATGACGAAATGCTGATATTCTTGGCTGAAAATAAATATAGTTTTAGTTATGTCTAGTTAAAGACATTTTAGTCTGGAACACTATTTTGTCAAGATAGAGTCAACTACTTTCAGTTAAATGAGCTATTAAAATAATAGTACGGCTTTCTTAACACAGTGAGGCCATCTACAAACAGCTATATAAAGAGTTACAGCTACGTTTTCATAAAGTTTAATGAAAGTTTTGAAGCTTCTAATATAATCTCTACATAGACAATCTACAAACATTTTTTTTCCATTTATCATTATCTCTGTATAAATTGAAACTACACCCAAGGGCTTATCTACAATTAGAGAGACAGAGTTTTCATAAATATAGAAGACAACATATGCGTAATCTAGCACTGCTGTAAGAAAACCTTTTTGCTGTTCTGTTTGTCTAGTTATTTACTAGTGAAGATACAAAGGGAAGACTGCTTCTCCCTGCACGGTGCAGAACAGAACAACCCTGGGTAGGAGGAGACACCATGGGAAATGCAGTCAAAGAGGAGTGCTTTCACTCTATTCCCAGCTTCTTCAGGGATGTCTCTGTTCCCTCCCTAAGGCAGTCACTGGGCAGGAAAACAACCACACGACTACTTCTTACAGATTTCTATCCTCTGGCTCCTCACTTTCCTCCTGTTTAGTAATTCTATCTTCTTCATGTTTTCTTCCTCTGTTCTGCCACTACCAAGATCAAGCCTCACAATCACTTTCCACCTGCCCTTCCTTTTCTTTACGTACGTTGATCCACATAGAAATGCTTATCTCTGTTGGACAGAGATCATTTCTCTAACAAGAAAATTTATAACTGTTGACTACTGAAGACACTATGGCAGTATCACTGGTACTACTTAGATTCACATGAAGAAAAGGAGTACTTCAACTTTTTTCTACCAGTCTAAAACTACACAGGCATACTGGCCATGAAAGAGAGGCATGTGGAGTGCCCAGCTGCACATTCAAACATCTAGCACTTCAGTGCCATCATGTGGAAAGAAAAAAAAGGAGCTGGTATCATTAATTATGCTCTATCAATTTCAAAGTTGTAATCTACAGTAACAACCAGACATAAATTTCTCTCAACATCAAACAGGATGAATTCTTCTCATATTAGGAAGTAGATTTAAAAATATAAAGTCTTTTGACATTTTAAATTTGTAAATGCACACGTAGTCAATTAGCAGAATTCCAAGTTCTGCTTTCCATATTAAAACTGAATTAGCTATTCTTGCAACGAAACATTAAAGTTTGTGGGTTTTATGTGTTTGATTATCCATCTAAAACCAGCTCAGTATCGTCAAAGTAAAAGATCATTTGAAGTTTTAACTTTGTTATGATGAGAACCCTACCATTCATAAACGTTTTTGTTACAGCTCATTTTCCGACATTGTAACATTACGGCATTGTGATGTCTCAGCAACAAAACTGCACAGATGCTGTGGGCACCATGTGAATATGGCTTTCTGTGCTATGCACACGCAGAGGCAACTCTGTAGCCCTCCCACAGCTGCCACAGACATGCACTGATGGAGAGCCGGACTTGAAGTACCCAAACAGCTGTCTTTCATCTCCTCAAAGGAAAAGGCAAATAGGAACCTCCTGCTACTTGGCCCACACTGGTTCAGTTTACCCCCTGGCAGCTGGAGATTATCAAAACATGTACTTTTAAAGGAATAGTGAATAAATACCCTGCAAGCCAAAGCTGCTGATTCTTAATACAGAAAATAACTCAAATTGCAACACTTTATAATACTGTAATACGGCTAAGCAAGTAGCAGCAACAACATTCAAATACTTTCTTTTCACCTGATGCTGAAGCATTTCTTATTCTATGCAGCCGTGGCTTTGGTATTGGTTTGTTTTCCCTTTGATTTCTTTTTTTCGGTAGTTCATGAACAGGCAGGTCATTACAGAGGCCAGTTTCACTATTATCACGTGGCACTTCTTCAGTAGCTGAACACTCTTCATTATTTTTTCTGTCATCATCCTCATTTTGACTTTCCAAACATTCTTCTTCACCATCTTTTCTGTCATCCTGTATGTTTTCACTTTCTAAACATATTATTTGCCAAGGCTTCTTCTCATGACAGGATAACATCAAGTCATCAGCAGCTTCGTTTTCCAAATCTGCTGCTTTTTGTGAAGCATCATCATCTGAGAGAGGACTCTCAACAGCAACTGATTTCTTAGTGCTTTCAGCACCTGAATTACTTTCATTAAGTTCTTCCCCAATACCTGAAAACAGCACATTATCAACTTCCATTTGAGACAAGTGGAAAAAAATGGAACACAGAAACTATACCTTCTATAATTTAAAAGTATTTTTGATATACTTTTCCCGACTTAAGTCATTTCTCTTTCCACCTCTGATCTCTGCAACGCCATCAAACTAGATCCCTATTCTACCTCCTTTCCTGCCATCTGTTTCCATGGACCCGATCCAAAGAAAAGACTTCAAATATTCACTGGATAATTCTTATCTGTCATTCAACTTAAATCCCTCCTGAAAAATTATGTCTCCAATGTCATAAAAGTGGAAGCAAGTCAACAACAAAGCTAGGCATGTTTGGTTACCAGAATCCATCCTCCCTTCTATTCTCTTCACTCCTGTCCCATCTGAAATCTGTGAGAAGATACTCAAAGGAGATACCTGCTCCAATGCCAAGGCTGACATGTTTAACAAAAATATTTTTATCTTCCTGGAGCCTGTTATTTCTAAATTACTTTATTTCAGAGTTCAAATGCTCGAGGAAGATGACAAAAGAATGTAACGATAGTTGAGTAACGTATTTAATGTAGGAGTAGCTTTTTTCTAAATCTTGTGAGCAAAAGGAAATCAAAGCATCCCATGAACTTTTAAAAGATGTTTCAGATGTGAATGAAAAACAGGACACAGAGGAAATCCTTTTAAAAATTCATTATGATATTTAAGATTCATATTTCCCTTAACATGCAGCACCATCTCAGGATGAAGAAAAGCCATTGGGCCAATCTTGTTAAACACAACCATTACCAAATATAAAATGCATCGTGGCCCAAGAAAAACAGCCAGATCAAATCTGTTCCTGGTTTGTGCACACCCGCAGGTAAGCCTGCCCTGCAGAGTGTCCTGCAGCCCGTATTTGCTGATTTTCCACACTGGGAAAACAGTAAGACAACAACATGGCTTTCTCTCTGCCCGTGTCCACTTTCATTCTCAGCACTGTGAGGTACTGTCTCATTCAGGTGTAACCGATATGGCTATGGAGTAAAACTGGGCTCCCAAGTGTAGGAAACAGTACAGACTGCGTCTGGTCTAGCAGGTTAGCACCACCACTGATCTCACGGGTAATTCTGCTCCTCACTCGGAAGAGGAGGACTAAGTGATTTAGAAGCTGCTAAAATATGAAACTTGGAACACTAAATCATATTGACTAGCAGAGATTCTCTGTGACCTAGTAATGAGTTACAAAAGGGAAGAACACAAGGAAAAATATTTAATTCTGTCTTACCATTTAACATGTCATCTTTGTCACTCTCAAAGTCATCTGAGTAATCATCTGTTTGCTCTCTTGCTGCACGAGCAGAAATTGCTTCTTGTAGCTCATCCTGAAATGGTTGCACACAGAAGGAAGGATTCACGTCTTCAGGTCCAGCACTAATTCCCCCCTCCCACACAACCATAAGTAAAACCGAGCAACAGAGATTAACCCGTTCAGCTGCAAATTATTGTGAAAGATAAGTAAAATACAGTGTGTGTTCACTCTACCATCATTCCTCCAATCTTTCTGTGTTAGAAAAAAACCCTCAATGTATTATTTTTTTTCTTCATAAGAAACATATTGTGGCGGCAGGTCCAAAACACCGCCAGAACTTCACACAAGCCACTGCTGCTATTCTGGACTCGCTGCTGCTGGACATCACAGACACACCACCTTTCATTTGGGTTCTGAGAACAACTGGCCTCACTCATAAGTTAAGAGCACACTACGAACCGCAGCAGTATCTCAGGCTGGAAGACCCCGCGCCAGCAACCCCTGAAGGCCTGAGC